ATAATTTATTGTCGCAAATTTGTGTGTCAGTTTGTGTATATTGATGAAAGATTTTTTAAACCATGCAGGTGTGAAGAATAAAAAATAATTATTTGGGATTAAATAAAAATGTTACAAAAATAAAACATCTGACTCAGCAGGTAATAGCGATGATTAATAAAATATTTAAAAAAAAAAGTAAAAAAAATTTAGCCAAAAAGGGAAGGTCAAAAAATGATTGGAATGTGAATAGAACCTTCCAAAAAATTGTTTAAAAGAAAAGTTTATTTAAATGTAAAGCAGACAACATTTTACTGTCCAAAAATAAAACAAAAAAATTTGGGGAGTAAAAATGAGGGTAGGTAAATTTTGTGGTGATGATTTGCTTGTTATTTGGGTATTTTGATGATTCAATTTAGAAAATATTATTTTTTTGATCAAAATTTATTTTTATAATATTTTTATAAATAAAATAATGAATAAAAAATATTAATAATTAAATAATTTCTGACAATTTTTGAATATTTGAGAATTTCTTTTAAAATAAATTATATTTTAATTAAATAAATAAAAAATGAAATCAATTTATTTCTTAAAAGGTCTTAAAAAGGTCAAAAACGTTCTCAATAAATCCTTTAAGTAAACATTTTTTTGTTTTGAATGTTTGTTTTGGATTTAAAAATATTTGTTTGTTAATGTTTTTTATTTGATTAAATAAAAATAAAAGATTTATGTATTAAAGCCGGCCAAATTATTTTATATAAAATTAAATTAAAGTTTTGATTTTTAAGGGTTAAGGGTTCGCTTAGAATTTATAAATAAAATATTTAAAATAAATTTTATATAAATAGGTATATCTATATTAAAATAAACTTTGACTTTTTTTAAATTTCAGAATGAGAACTAAGATCAGCTTTACAATTAATTAATTTTAATTTACAGTTTGTCCAATAATGATACGTTCACCCTAATTTTTACCGATTTTAATACACTGTAAATTTTTAAAATTTTAGCTAAATACGTAAATCCTAAAATAATTACCCAGGGTAATCATTGTTTCAATCTCTTGCTAGAGGGAGCAATTAAAAGGGCAGAGGTAATTATGTATTTGAGAGAGGACATTATTTCAGCATTTACTGCATTTGTTTTTCCAAATTTACATTACAAATTTTTGATAGGAATTTTATTAAAAAAGAGGAATTTTTAGATTAAAAATCTAAAAAAAATTTAATCTTAGCTCTTTGCTTTTTTAAAAGAATAGCTTTTATCTTTATGTAGCAATACACAAATATTTTTATTTTAGTCCCAAACATTTTTTAAAATATAGGTCAAGTTAAAAACAAGGAAAAACTGAAAAAATGAAGCGGGAAAAAAACAAAAAAAAAATGTTAATTTTAGATAAGCTTTGGAAAAGATAAACAAAAAAATTGTTTTAAGTGGATGTTGATGAAAAGAATGTGTGGACGAGAAAAATTTTTTAATTTATTTTTATATTGGCTAATCAAAAAAGGGAAATGATGAATTAAAGCTAATAATTTTTAGAAATTTTATATGTTATATTTCACTTAATAAGTTAAGTAAATTAATAATCAGAAAAATTTTTGCAATTTAAAGAAAGGAAAATATATGTATGGTGATGCAAAAATTTTAAGTAAAAAAGCAAGGTATTGACTTAAGTAAGTAAAATTTTTAACAGCTTTTGTGATTGGTTTAATTGCAACAAAAAATATTGAGGAAGAATTTAAGAATAAAGAGATTATGTAATTGTGAAGATTGGGGTGAAAAGATTAATGAAGAATAAAGGAAAAGCATAGAGAAAGAAAGAATGAAGAGAAATTAAAAATTCAAAAAATCTTCTTATTAATATATTCTTCTTTACATACCTCATTTTTATCTTTGTTAATGAGAGTTGAAGATAAAATTCAAGGAAACATGGGAAGTAAAGGAAAGATGAGGTGAAATCTTCTCAATTTCCTTTATTTTTCATTATTTAAAAAAAATAAAAGAAGCGGAAAATAGGTCGTACCACTATGGCCAAATAATGAGATTTGAAATTGAAGAAGAATAAAGGAAAGGATTAACGCTACACCCCCCCCCCTCCCCTCCTTTGTCATGAAAGCGGTCAGTAAGTGGAAAAGAATGGGGAGACAGGGGAGGGGATTTTTCTTCTATTTAACCCTAAATTTCAGAGAGAATGGACATAAAAGAAAAGTAGCAACAATTCGGCAAACAGAGGATCTCCCTCCTCATTCTGAAATATTAAAAAGGAAAAATAACGGTCTGTCTCCTTTTTTAAAGCGGAGATTGAAAATATTAAATATATGCAAATTCAAAATTTTTGTGGTTTTGTAATATTTAAATTAGAAATTTTTGAGGAAATTTTTTGTTTTTCTGAAAAAATCATCCAATTTTAATAAAAATATATTTATATTTTCGTCAAAGAAAAATTTAAAAGAAGCGCTCATAAAAATCACATCTGACATTGTTGTAAATGGCATGTGCCGAATTTATTTGAAAATCAAGCAACAGATTGTGTTTGGTCAAACAACTGTTGTCCATGAAGAAATATTTTTGGTTAAAAATAAATGACTGAGATTTTTTGAAATAAACTAGACAACGTTTTTCAGAAAATAAACCTTCTATAGTGTATAAGAAATTGTGTCTAGTGGTGATAAACAACAAAAATATTTTTAGAATTTACTATTTAAATATTTTTCAAATTAATTTCCTTTAAATTAATTTATAAGTTCTATTCCTTATTAATTTCGGAATATTTTTTTGTTAGTGATGAGTGACCAAATATTTAAATGATATTAATAAAGAAAAGATGAACTACCTAATTTATACTTCCATTAATCATGAAAAGAGGAAATGAATAAAAAAAGAAGAATTATTTGGCAGATGAATAAATATATAATAAATATTTTGAAGAGGAAAATGAATGAATTATTTGAATATAATAGAAGAAAAAAGTGGTTGAGTGAGTGAACATTGTTGATTTGAGAGAATGATGGGGAGTTAAATAAAAAATAAAATTATAATAAGAAAATGATATTTTTGAAGGGAGGTAAACAATTAATTGTTTTTTATTTATTATTTATTTTTTAGATAGTTCCAAAAAAAATAAAAAAATTCATATTCTAGGTTAAAAATTAAATATTTAAGTAATTAATTCCAACTACTAGTTTAGTTCGATTAAAGTACCTAGTATTCTAAATTTCCCCAACGGGATAATTTCTCGAAGTTCTTCTGATATTTTAGAATTTTAAAAAATTATTAGACATTTATAATTAAATTTCCCTGATATAACGTTTTCTCTTTAATAGAATTCCCGGGCATTCTATTTTTCAATCACCTTCTAAAGAGGCATTCTAATGGAGGGGGCATTCAATTAGATAGAATACGGTAAATAAAAGTCAAATTAAAAATTCTACAAAAATAAATAAATATAATTTTTATTAAAAATATTCCTTCGTCCACTACCCCAAATAACATAAAATAAAAACGCATAAATTAGCCGCGACGTTGGTCATCCTAGGAATATGTGTATTTGTCCACTAATGCAAATTAGTAACAAAACAAAATTATGTAAGAATAAGGTAAAAAAGAAGAAGACCATCAAAATAAAATTAAAAGAACAAAAAAATTATTTTTAAAAGAAAAAAGCCTTTTTATTTGAAATTAGTTGCCGCGTGACCACCTTTTGAATGAAAGGCTGTTAATGGACAAATAATGTTTTTAAAATTGCGTTGCACAGGTGTGGAAAGGAAAAAATGTTTGGTTAGTTAATGGCCAGTATATTTTTTAGAATGCGCATTTGTTTTAATTAATTAAATATAATAGAAAATAATTGTTAAAATAGAGAAAAATAAGGAAAAATTAATCATAATTAAAGATTGCAAAGAATATTTTGGTATTTTTGGTATTTACGAATTGGAGGGAGAAAATTAATGATAAAATTGGTAACATTACAAAAACTCGAGATTTTCTGACTCTCATAATTATTTCTAGCGAGTATGATTAATAATTTAATATCTAGAACTATCAAGGATTTTAAAATTTAAATATTTATTAAAACCAAAAATAATTTTATTATTTCTCAAAATAATAATAAAAAATATTCAAACAAATGAAATAAATTTTAAAATAAAAATTCTCCATTTTAAATATAAAAATTTATTTAAAAATAAAAATAATTAGGTATATTTTATTTTTCATTAATAAAAAATTATCTAATTCAAAAATTTCCATTGAGGCATGCAAAAAACGGAAAATCCGGCGGTACATCAAAGAGTCAAACAAACAAAGAAAAATATTTTTAAAATAAAGATATTTTTCGCTTGAATGTTTTGAGAACAATGGCGGGAAATGAACGTGCGCAGAGAAAAAATAAATTAAGAACATTAGCATATTTTTTGGTTAAAAATATTTTTGAATAATTAAAAAGTACTTTTTAAATATATTTAAATTATATCTAGATTTTTGATTATACCGACATTCGTAAAATTAATTCAGTTGGGTGAACTAATAAGCTATGTGGAGAATTAAAAAATTTCTTAATTAATGAAGGAAAATTTTTTAAATATTTAAAATAGAAATATATACCCATGGCCTTATAAAATACCGGCCTAAGACAAATAAAGTACAGATTTTTGTGAGCATTACAAAGAAAGATTTTTTTGAGACATTTTGATAAGAAAAATAAAATTTTAAAAATTTGAATGAGAAAAAATATAAAATTAATTTAAATTAAAACCCATAAAAAGTGTATTGCAAAAATTTTTATTAAGAAAAAGACATTTATAATTAAATTTAATTAAACTGCACTCCTAAATGGAAATGCAGATTTATCTTAAAAAAATCCAAGCAATTTAACGAAATGAATGAAAATGTAATTAATTTAAATAAATTAATTTTCCTCCAAATTTAAATTTTCTTCCCTCTATTTTTTCATTTAATTTTTTTACTCATTAAGAATGAATCAAACAGACAGAATAACCCTTCCTTCCACTCCTTCCCCTACTTTTCCCCTCTTTATTTAAACCAAAAATGCAATTTTTTACCAAAATTAAAATGTTGAGAAGTGTTGTTTGGCATTTTTATTTTTTGGTTATTTTGTGGTCAAACAACTCAAAAAATTTTTTTTATTTATTTAAAGCGCGGAAAGCTCTAACAAAACACTTGACATCCCAAAGGGGCAAAAATGAAGAAAGGAAAAATAAAATAAATTTGACTGGAATTTTGGGTAATTGGCGACTTTGGTAGTTAAAAAACATGAAAAAATTTTTTAAATTTATTGCCTTTTTATGTAAAAATTGTCTAAGAAAAAATGAAAAATGGAGAAAAATTAAGAAAAAAATTCTTTGTTAGAAATTGTTGCATTAGAGATTTAAAAGAAATATTTTTCGAAAATAAAGAGGAAAAACGTAGCAGAAATAAATCTGAAATATCAGAAATCAGGAAAAAATAATAATCGGATTATTGCTTTTGATCTTTCTCTTTATCGCGCAGCTTTATTTTTTAATAATTTTTTGCTACGAAATATTTCAAAAAATACTTTAGTGTATATACCACCTCGCTAAGGCAAAAATTTTAAGAAAATTATAAAAAGGGAACCTTAACAATTTTGGTAAAGATTTCGTAATCATTATAAAAATAATTAGAAAATTTAATCATAAATTCTAAATATTATTGTTTATCTCAAAAAAAGTAAAGAAAAAAGGTTAAAAAGAAAATAAAAGATTGCCGGTTGGACAGACATAAAATATATACTGACCGGATATAATCACAACAGACCTTGAATGAAAGAAAAGGTTGGCGCTATGAAAGCATGAAAATTTAAAGAAGAAAAATATATTTATTTATTTTTGTTTTGGAAGGGGGGGGGGTGCTGGTCAGTTTTGCCCAAGCATGTAAAAATTTTGGAAAATAAAAGAAAATGAGAAAAGAAAGCCGCACTTTTTTATTATTATATTTTTGGGGGGAATGAACTGGCTATAAAAAGGGTGAAAACAAAAGGGCATTTGAGCGTTAAATAAAGGAAAGAAAATTATTATAATCCAAGTTTGAGAGTAAATTTTAAAGAAATATATTAGTTAATAATTTGTTTATAATCTAATAATTTTAGAATTTTGCAAAAAAATTTTCATCAAATTTTCACGCTATCTGACAAATAAAAGAATTTTTTAAAGTAAAATTAGACAGAGATTTAACAAAAATATTCTCAAATTTCCAAAAATATTTTTCTGGTTAATAGTGTAAATTATTTTTTAACAAATTAAAAAAAAATGTACATTAATTTGTTTGATAAAATATTAATTTTAGAATAAAATAATATTAGATAATCTAAAATTTAAAAAATAAAAAGAGGGAACTTTTTATTAAATATAAATTTTTGTTGAAAAATCTTTTTACTTAAAATATATTTATTTATTTTATATAAATTGGCAATATTATTTTTTTATCTTAAAGAAAAATATTTTTCTTGTTAAAGAATATTTTCCATAAAAATATTTAGATCTCAAAAAATAATGCTAATTTAGATATATTTTTGGAAATTTATTAGTTTAATAATATTTAGAATATACAAGAACAAAAAAATATGTCAGAAGTTTTTATTCTTAAAATAGTTTTGCAAAAAATGATGGGAACCAATAAATAAATATAAAATAAAATTATTATAGAATTAATATTTTAAAATAAAAATTGAAAAAATTTTAAATTAATTAAATTAATTAATTAAATAAATATTTTTTAATTTTTGTAATTAAAAGTAATTAATTTGTTATTTTTGTGTTTTGTATAATATAAAAATATATTTTGATTTATAAATGTGGAAAAATAAAAAATAAATTGCTTAACGGATATAAAAGACGAAGGAATTTAAAGTAAAGAAAAATATCCAGTTTTTAGGTAATAAATTGCCAAGATTTATTTTTTGAAGTAAAAAGAGAGAAGAATATGTAGGATCATTGGAAACGTTTAGCTAAATAAAAGAGTTAAGCCAGAACGTAATAATAAATAGTAAAAATATTTTTTATGTTAGTATCAAAGAAAAACAAGCAAAATATATCTAGAAAGATTTTTTGTTTAAAGAAAATTTTGAAAGTGTTAGATAAATGAATTTGATATAAATTATGAACAGGGTTATAATCAGAGGTGGAATTCCGATTTCCGACGTTTTTTTTCCTTCCGATTTCCGATTTCCAAAAAAATTTGATTTCTGATTTCCGAGTTCCGACATTTGAGACAGTTCCAATTTCCGGCTCTTCCGATTTCCGCAACTCTGACTGTTCCGATCCACCTCTGGTAATAATAATTTTAAAGTTCAAACTATAATTTTAAACAAGGTATGATTCTATTTTAAAACGAATTTCTAGGATTTTTTGGATTTTGTCTGGATTAAATAATTATTTATTCTTATTTTTAAACAAATTCTAAAATTAATTTATTTTGGCCAAAAGAACAGAAAATAATAAAAAGGAGGATAAGCGGATAAGGCATTTCTGTTATAATTTCTTTTCAAATAAAATAGAAACATGTGCTCGTTTAAATTGGTCATGAAAAGCTAAATAATAGAAAGGACGTATGTATGTACTAATTGAATTATAAAAATATATAAAGAATAAATTTTATATTTTTTTGTTATCTTAATTTTATTTTTTTTTGTTATATTTATTTAATATATAAATTTAAGTCACATGATCGCTGAAAGAAATCTTTATATCCTAAAAATATTTTTAAAATAAATAATAATTTAAAGGGAAATTTATTATTTTTTTGTTTTATAATAAAATTTTGTTTTTTAAAGCTGCAAAAGTTTATAATATCTTATTAATTCATAGACGTTCGGAATATTTAAATATACCAAAGTTTTAATAACTAACATTATTTTTCTTTAAATAGAAAAATAAAAAGAATAAATAAAACCAAAATTGGCAACAATAAAATTAACTTAAAAGAAATGGTCAAAGGCCAAATAAATTTTTTAGTTTCTGTTTTGGCCCAACTTGCATGATTATTTGGAAACTTGGTTTTTGAAAAGGAAGAGACAAGCACGCATTTTGAATTTAGAAAGGAATGAGAGAGAAAGGGGGGTTTTGTGTGTTAAGTATGGCCAATTGTTTTAAAATATGTACTACAAGTGTTTGTTGTTATTGTTATTCAATAGAGAATAAATAAATAATAAAAATATATATTTATTTAAAAATGTTTTGAATTATTAAAATATATTTGAGGAAAAATTATTTTTCAGACAAAAATTATTATTTAGATAAATTGAATAAAAAGTTTGTGTTAAAAGAATAAATACATTTGAATTTTTAAGTAATTTTTAAAAGTAATGTTTATTTATCAAACAACTATTTTGATAAATAACATTTTTGAAAGATTAAAAAAGCAAATGAAAAAATTTTTGTTAAAAAATTATTTTATTTTTTAATTGAAAAAGTATTATGTACATAACCCATATTTTTTGTGCAAATAATATTTAAAAAATGAAAATAGTTTATGTATGTTTCTTTTTATCCAAAAGAAAATTGGTTTTACTAACAATTGTTAAATCTTACAAACAAGCATGCTTTTCATTTTATACTTTTTAAAGTAAATTCAAACACTTTTAGATCAAATTGATTAGAAACGGAGTAAATGTAATGAAAATGTAATAAATTAATTTTTTTAAATTTAGTTGGGCAATGAATGGAAAAACTGCCTAATAACTACATACTGGATATACAATATGGAGAACATGATCAACTAAGTAATTATCCTGTGTATTTATTGTTTCAACATCTAGCTGGAAGGTTTATCTAATAGAGTTATTTAATTATTTAATAGTAATAATAAAATATTAAATAAACAATTTTTTAAATAATTTTATTTAATAGTTAGTATGTACAATAAAATATAATAATTGTCTTTTTAATTTTATATCTTTACATACAAATAAATAATTAACAATAGGTTGATTACCGTATTTACTCGATTAATTCCCCTCCCTCAAATAATTCCCCTCTCTCGAATAATTCCCCCTGCTACGGATGAGTTAAAACAATAATCCCCCATCCCCAAATACTCTACTACACGTTCAAATTTCAAAACTCGAATAATTCCCCTCCCTTGAATAATTCCCCATTCCAAGGTTGGGTTGAAAAAATAATTCCCCAGGGGAATTAATCGAGAAAATACGGTATCTTATTCAACTTTTACCAGTCATCTTCACAAATTTTTACATTTTTAAAATTTTCCTTTTCATAATTAAAAGCATGGCATTCTCCATTCAAAAAATTGTTTATAGCTTTCATACTAGGCCTTTTATATTCATTTATTTGAATGCAAGCCTTAAATAATTGTTTAAATGTTTTCAAAAACAAAGAAATATACCTTTATAATTCTATCTAAACGACTAGTTTTATTTAAATTATTTCGGTATTCATTTAATAAATTATCCTAATCCTCAGGTTTTTTAACTAAAAATTAAATTTGTTAAATTTTTATATAATAAAATACCTGATAATGTATATAATAGTTTATAGCTCATTAAACCAAAAGCCCAAACATCCACCCTTCTAGTAAGCTAAAAATGATAAATTTTTAAAAATTTTTATTTGTTTAATTTAAAATACAAATATATTGGTCCACCCAAAATTAAAACACATAAAGCTTTCGAGTTATTACATATAAAAATCTGAACCGTTTTTTGGAATTTTATTGTGTGCTTTAATGATAAATTTAATTCAAAATTTAATCCAATTTTTTTCGACATTATTTTTCTCTTAATGGACACCCACACAAGTTTAGATTCACTTTGAGTTTTCGTGCTTATAACTTTAGGATAATCTATATATCTTCTTCAACATACCTTCATGCTGTCATTATTTCGAATTTCTGGTGCCTTGTATAAATCAGTAGTATTTTCAATCCGCATATCATCAAAATTATGATGTTTAAAAAGAAAGGAAGTATTAAAATCTATCAATTTACAAACAATTACATTATCCCCTTCATTTTGTTCTTGGGAAATAATAAAATTATCTGCTTTAATATCTAGATGGATACCATCTAAATTAATTTTAAAGAAATATATTTTTAATTAAGTAATAAAATAATTACGTTTATGGAATTGCTCTAAAGCTTTAGCAGCTCCTTTTAAAAGTTTTGTAATTGAAGTTGAAAAATAGGATGAAAAAAGGTAACGGTTATTGCCGTTTACTATATTTTTTAAATAATATCCTCTCAGATTATTTGTGCCAAGTTCCAAAGCAATTGCAAATTTTTCTTTAAGTTCAATACTTAAATAGAAAATAAAATTACAAAAAATTTATTTAATCTTAACAAATTCTTTTTT